GTTAATATTATTATTTTTAGTTACTTTATAGGAAACCGCTTAAAAACGCGTGGTTCAATACAAAATTATAAGTATTTTTTGCAAAAACTTGATCAAAAAAATTTAGTACCAATCGTCTCAGTGCAACAGTGGCAAGTTTAAACTTATTATTTATACAAGAATGTACTAATACTATGTTTATCATTAATTATAATCTAAAAACAGTGTTCTGTTCAAACGTGATCAGCTGTAATTTAGTAATTTATCTCTCTTTCCGCATCGGTGAAAGATGGACCACCTTTATTGAAGATAGTTTTTGGGTGTATTTTTAGTGAAAGCATGTTTACAATTTACATTAGAATAAAAAGTGCGCCATATACAGAGAAATTGAATGTAAAAAAATTACAAAAGACAAAAAGTGCAGTAAAATATTTAAAAAAAATAGAGATAAACGAAGCTACTACAAAAAAATTTGTCATACAGAAATCAAAAATTTTGAATTGAATTCACGAATAATGTACATACATGGCTAGATACAGATTTGTGCCAGCCATACAGAAAACATTGTTAAGAAAAAATAGTAGGAGTAATTAGAAACTATTAGTAGTTCATATCAACCATACAAGATGGGACATCAGATGGACTTTAACACATCACACATTCGTGATGGTTTGAATTGAAATAAAGATTATAATTTTACATCAGTTTTTTCAAAATGTGGTACATCTTTCCCGGACTTACCCTAAAAGTAAAATTTTCTAGATAATTTTCTCGTTAGAACCGGAAACGTTTGGTTGTTGGAATTTATTTCTTAATCCTAATGAGTGGTAACAAAGTTTTGAAGAAAATTTAGAGATTTCAACACCTTTCCTGTCAAGTTAATCGGTATAATCCTTTACCAAAAAAGGACTTGTTAGTCTGATCATTAATTTTTATGATGGTGCATATAAAATTCATTTATCATCAACACTTGATCCGCTTTTGCACGACAAAATTATGCTGACAGTCCGAAAAGAAGATACTATTTTTAATTAAGAGATAAATTATATTTCTAATAGTGTCGCAGTAGAAAAATTCAATTAATTAAGGGGGCTTTCATATTTATTTTTGATACTTTTGACAGTGGCTTTATCGTGTTCTCCGCGCCTATTTGTTACGTAACAAGTACCTATATTGCGGCCCATTATTCTTTCAGTGCGAGTTAAATTTCTGATGTTAATCAAAATGTAGACCTCCTCGAATTTTATTTATTGATTTGCATTCTTCTTCGGTAGCTGGTCGGCATACAACACTTGTACCATTTTGCTTAATCATTCAGTGCGGACTCCTAACGAGCCTAAAGTAGTGGCAGTGGCATGGAACAGGCGGTATGCGGTCCGTTAGCCAGCATATGAAATTAGGACCGGCCATGTCTTGAGTATTCATTATCAAGACCGTATATCAAGCAACTAAGTACACATGTCATGACGTCAAAAGCAGCGACCAATCGTCGTCTTCCAAACCTTATAAGACAATGCAACTGGGCGGAGACCATGGCCTCAGGCCCCCCGAACTCGTCCTCTGCCAAAAATCCACAAAACTCATTTCTTTGCCGAGAGACCACTCACACGGCAACTCTGTCGAATTCTAACCAATGATCCAAAAGAAGCCAAAAATTTGAGGTGATGGTACCGGATATGGCAAAGTTGCCATTATTCGCGACATTTTATGGTTATGGAGTCTCATTTACGAAACCTGTTCGGTGAAAGAGAGATAGGCATGGCCCACCTTCTGTCGCAATTTAACTTTATTCGCTGTGAGAAATTATTTAGAAAATGTTATATCTACACTGTAGACCTTGTACGTATTACAATTGCCGTTGCAGAAACCTTGTGTAACAAGTCACGAATTGCAAGATTTCATAAACTTTGCCGCTCTAGATTATACGGCACGTCTGGAATTATCCGGCAGCCGGAATGGTCGAACAGAAAAATTCTAGTCGTGTATCAATATTTCTCTAAAGAATAGAGATCGACTTAAAATGATAATTTAATTCCATTAAGGATCGCGAACGGCGTGCTCATCCCGTACATCAATCTTAATTGGCAGAATAAATGATTGGTAATGGTTAGGCCACTAGCGCTTCGAGGAATGACTATTTTTAGTAAATAAGATTTTTCCAATATACTTAAAAAACATTTATGACTCTGAAAAAAACAAATAATTATATTGTTTGAAGTAAATATAGCTACAGTTAATATTAAAACTTTATATTTTAACATGTGCCTACCTAAATATTTTTATTGATTCATTGTGTATACTATGTATGTACCTATTTGATAAAATGTATGTAAAAAGACACAAAACTGAACCACTGAACCACTATAGACTTAATAAAGTTACATTTTGAAAAAAAAGGAATTGATTGATTGTTGACCAGTTTGTGCTAGTGTCACCTGATATGCTGCCTAGAAATTAATGTAAACCCATTTTTAAAAGTACCGTTTAGGACGTTGAAAGACACATTTGTTTATAGTCACGTTCTATAAAGTTGTAAAAAATTTGTCAACTTTTTTGCACTGTTTATAAATATTAATGCGACATTTCATTTATTTGAAGTTGGCTAAAATTAATCAACTTGTTGTGACAATTTTTGCTATAATATTACTTTTTGTTGGGAGTAATTTACAATAACTTATAGTACGCAAAATTAGGTACTCAGTCCCCAAAAACAGTTTTTGCAGACTAAAAAATAAAATTGGTTACTACGGTAACGAATTTTTTAATTAGTAAGAGGTGTGAATTCGTGTTTTGGGAGCTTTAACAAAAAAATCTTGTATGCACCACGTACGCAACCGATTTTAGGTGACTCCTCTCATTAAAAACTCGGCTCATACGTCGCCTCGTCATTAATTACGATTCGTCCCCTAAAACCCTATTTTGCGTACTTAAATACATAAATATCTATTTAGTTCCTCAATACCCAAAATACAGTTTTTCTAGATGTATAAGTCAATTTAGTTACTATGGTGGCATCAAACGTCAAACGTTTCTGCTTCTAGTTCTCTAATAATAATAACTGAAAATGATTATACTAATTACATGATAAAGATGATCGTAAATGGGCAGGTACAATAAAAAATAGCGTATAACACTCGTTTATAAGCGCCTTTAAAACACTTACAACGTTAAAGTACTCCGCTGATGCGTCGTGCTCTTAAACCCGTCGTGCGTGTTTAAAGGCTTGCTTATAAACTAGTATTATAATATACTATTAAATTATCTTACAGAAACCAAGATTGATTACTTGAAAAATTGACTGAGTACAGTTGTTTTTAAGTTCAGCATTTATGCATTTTTGTTCTTTTTTTAAAGGTATTACATTTTTTTTAAATCTCAACGTACCGGCCTGTAGATTTGAAAAACCTTTACTTTGATGTAGGTATAATAGATACTTGAAATTCTGTTGTATATTAAGAGAGTAATTTTGTTTTCAATATACTAACGTCTCAAATCGTTGGTCGCGGACACCCTTAAATACGAAGTGATCCAGAAAGACTGAGTCTGTAGGTAACAGATTTAAAAGTATTTTTGTTGATAATTTGAAGCACTGCAACCGGATACAGTTCTTCTTAACAAATACTTAATGTACAACCCCTCAATATTGTTGAATTGTTCTTAATCAAAAATGCGTACTCCAATGGTAACCTTTAAGAATTATAGTCAGGATTGCCAACATATTCATTCGTTGTGGATCACTTTTTGTGTACACAAAGTAGCTACACAAAATAATGTTTGAAATTCTTCAAAAAGAATAATGTTTCATTACCTAGGTACCTATTTGCCGCTTCCAGTTTGTAAAAAATGTCTCAAATATTGAAAGAAGTCTATCAATACAGGGTGTATGCCTGACGTCCTGGCCATGCAACCCAAAAAACAAATTTAATTTACGTCTTGATCTAATTTTAATTACAATTTGCATTTGCAATCCAAGTTATCTTATGTCGCTTTGACAGTGCTTTGACAAGCAACTTATGATTTATAAAAAACTGGTTGCCTACCTTTAATGTTTTATTCTTTCATATATTTTGTATTGGGTTTACACCGAAAAGACTTCTCTAATTTCTCTATCATTCCGCGAGAACTGAATGGCACTAATAATCGTTCTCTACGCTGATGAGTGACATAAGATGATGACTTGGATTAAACTTGCAAATCCTAATTTAAATTGGATCAAAGGCGTAATTGAAATTTGTTTTTTGGGTTGCATCGCCAGAGAGTCAGGCTCATTATCTAGTCTTAATCGCCCTGTGTAAGTACATATAGGTATCCCAAAATTAAAAAAACACTAAACAATGTTTTGTCAACTTCTATAAACATCAGCAATACATTATTATTTACAAGTCAAAATTTTATCAGCGTAAATATTGAATTTACAGTTCACGAAAAGTCGAAAAGTCAAAATTTTGATGTTTCACTGTTGCTCTTCGGTGGACATATTTTTATTCATTTCACGTGATGCATTTTTGCTTTTTTATTCTATTTTTTTCCTTTTTTTTGCGAGCAGTGCAATATTTTGAATCGACTCGCCCGTTCGCCCCCTGTGTAAATTCTCTCCTCGTCAGTTTTTAGTTTTATGCTCGGTCGATTTTCTCTCATGACGTTCGTGTGTTTGTTTAAGCTGCAATTATCGACCAGACGCTGTAATTACCTGGCTCCAATTAAAATAATGGAACGATGCCATGAACTATTAGCATTTCATTGGAGGGAAAAGAACGCAGAACGTGATCATTTTTTCTCTGTTATTACATACACACAACGTGCACACAATGCACGGATTAACGAAAATAAAACCAAAATTAGTCTTATCGTATCAGCATCTTTGTTGTGGTTTATAGAGGAAGATTTTTTATCATGTGGTATTTGGGAACTTGATGACTATGATAAATGGTGCAACTCGCCCAGTTATTATTTAATTTCCTTTTGTTGATTTTATCTAAACTATGAAAATTGGTCGTAACTGTTGTTTTTTTCTTTTACAGTTCGCAACGGATATTCGTGTGTACCAGTGGCTTTAGCTGAAGGTTTGGATATCAAACTAAATGCTGCTGTTAAAAAAGTGGAATACAACAAGAACGGAGTCGAAGTCACTGTCTATAATCCCAGGACACCCCATTCAGTAAATACTTATCACGGTAAATACTTGAAACATTTCTTTTCACTTTATTTTTAAATTGAAAGTCAAAGCCTCTAGGGAGCAAGTCTTCCTGATAAATAAGCTGTGCTCTACACACTCATTACATTGCATTAAATCTTAAGTATGTGGTGAAGAAGCCTCGTAATTAGTACCGATCTTCTCCGATATACGTTTACAAAGTTGATTCAACGCGGAGGTCGTAATTCAAAAAAACGATTTTAATTAGCGCCGTGGCAACATTATAATTTGATAGAACACGCCCTGTAAGCTATACTCTAAACTTGCCGGAAGTCGTAAATAAACAAAAGTAGGGGCCACTGACTCCGGTTGCTGGTAGCCGCTGGAGGAGGTGCTCTAATATGTCGGCTGCCATTGGTCGCTGTTATCATATGCAGATATGATATCTAACCGCCTCACCAATTAGATCGGTGTCCCAAGTGGAACGAATGATATTTGTCGTGGTTATCGTCCGACGACGGCGGTGCTCCACCTTATTTTTAACGAACTCAAATACTAAACTACCTATATTACTTATGCCATGTTTTTAATATTTGACCCACACAAATACGTCCACCTTCGACACGAAAAAGGCATTACGTGATTACCGCTTAAACGAAAACAGCTGCTCCCTTTTAGCCTTCCCCCTTAATTGAATACAGTTTGCTTTGAGTATTTAATTGCAAATAAATTTAAACTTAGCCACCGGAATCAGATAAACCATAAACTGATGATATACGATCTGAAACTGGATAAATTGTGAAGTTTTAATCAGCAACATGTCAGTAAATGGACTTTAAGTATTTCAAGTCAACATTGTTGTATGTCTAAGGATGCAAGGAATTTTATTGCTGCTCATTCTAGTAATACATCATCACATATTTGCACCTTTATTTAGATGGTTCTGAACGTGATAGGGATCATTTGATCTTGTCTTTTATACGCTTTTGTTCCGTACAGTTGGCTGTCAGTTTTTTCGATCACACTAGAGAATAATTCATGATGATAAACACGTGCTTCTAGTAATGCAGTTGCAGGAAACAAGCACAAAATATGTATGCAGGTTTTTATACTCAGTACATACTAGTGCATAATTACTGTTCTATATGAACGCCTTCTGTTTACCATTATTTGTTTAAATTGTTACATTAACAATACTACAGCCACTGGAAATAATGTTGAAACAGCATTTGCTCTGCATTACTAATGATAAAGTTTTTAAAATTTAAAGCAAACATTTTTTTGGATTAGGTTTAATAAAAAGTGGCCCCTAATAATTACATGTGACATGAGAAATGATAAATACGCTTTCAAACGTCAAAATTAATTTCCAACGTTTTGGTTGTATGTATGTGTCTTCCAATTTATCATAGTTTTTAAGAATAGGATCTTTTTTAACTAAAGATAATAATAGTTGTCGTAAATTACATGATTCAAAATAACTAAATTTCGTAGGTTTTCTCATTCCAACGATGTTATCTGTCAAATAAATTTCCTGCTTCAGGTCTATCGTGCCGGTTAAGACCATAACCTTTCAAATTACGGGTCATAGTCTTCAAAATCAATTTAACAGCCAAACTAACGATCGCATATGACAGTAAGACATATGATATTGATGAACGTGGCATACCACACACCTGTTAAGTTATTTTCCAAAATATTAATTATAAATAGGCAGTGGTTAGTTTGTGAAGGATAACATACACTGCAAATTCCATAGCTGTATAATAAATGTATCAACACTAGATAAATCGCTTCGGTAATTTGTGCTTAACAGTTTGATTATACATTTGGCTTGGATGTACAGTCAGAATTCCAAACTTGTCACGAACGCACCTGAGAGTCAGTAATTTATTAAGATTATAGAATGCAGCTCTCTCTTATTGTTGCAATTGACATTTATGAATCTAATCTTTATCTCGAATAAAAAGGAGAAACATGTTTTCCACAAATTGGAAATTATGATACAAGTTCGAACAGAAATTTTAAAACCAAACTTATGTCCTCACTGAGGCTATTTGAAAAATTTTTCATTCCTGAAGTTTTTTTCCCCAGCCATAACTACTAATTTGTGATAATTAACCGAAAGTATGTACAATATGTTTGCGTCAACGTTGTCGAGATTTCTCGAGGAAAATAGCATGCGATATTTACGGTGACAATGAAAGCAACAGGTAGTCAGACTGCTAGACATTGTAGGCACTTGAGACATTATTATTTGCCACTTTACGTGTCATATACGTTATTTTGTATTCGCTGTTGACAAGTACAGAGGCGTGGCGCCTGATTTTTGCCGGAAGGATGTATTTTCTTGAAACAATCGCCATTGTTCACCACTTAGTACCCCACTACATGGAACAAAATTTGTAACACTGGTTGAAAATTTTATTTTTCTGTATTTCTGAACAGTTTATCTGATGTGCCCCGCGCAAATTAGTACCTCGTTAGCCGGCAGCATTTATTCAACGTAAACCAGCTTAGGACGATGCTAATAGTATTGCCAATATTTACTGCTTGTAACGATTATTAGAATTTCTTATCCGAGCGCACAGAGGCGATTGTGACAAAGACTACATAATTACGTCCATCCCGCATAAGATCGACACAGAACAATCTTCGACAGAATTTGATCTCGAAACTGATGAATGGTAACTGTAATCCTTGAGTTTACCATTAATTGGTCACGTCAAATGCACAACATTGTGCTTTTGGCCGTGTGGATTTATCGGTTTGTTGATCCTGATAATGGCTCCCTAGGGATTGCATTGTATTTCCAGACAAATTTCTCAAGAATTGATTTTGGTTTATCTTGCAGCGGACGTTGTCCTGTGCACTCTTCCTCTGGGAGTTTTGAAATTATGCGCGTCTCCAAACTCTTCCCAGCTGAATACGGTCCAATTCTCACCACCTTTGCCAGATTGGAAGACTTCAGCAATCCAGAGGTTGGGTTTTGGTAATTTGAATAAAGTTGTCTTGTGTTTCGAGAGGATTTTTTGGAATCCACAAGCTAATCTTTTCGGACACGTTGGGAGTACGACTGCGAGTCGAGGAGAATTGTTTCTCTTCTGGAATTTGTACAAAGCACCGGTCCTTCTTGCTTTAGTTGCAGGTGAAGCGGCTGCTATCATGGAAAATGTCACCGATGATGTTATTGTCGGAAGGTACGTACACCTGTCTTAATTAAATTAGTCGACGAAGAAATTTTCTTAGATGTATCGCCGTACTTCGAGGCATTTTTGGCCAGTCTGGAGTGCCTCAACCGAAGGAAACCGTGGTAACTCGATGGAGGGCCGATCCCTGGTCTAGGGGTTCGTACAGTTTTGTCGCTGTTGGTAGTTCAGGCAGCGATTACGATTTGTTAGCGTCTCCTGTGATTCCCCCAAATAGTCAAGGGGTTTCGGGGACTGCCGGTCCTGCGAGAGTCTTTTTTGCAGGAGAGCATACGATTAGGAATTATCCTGCTACGGTCCATGGAGCATTTTTAAGTGGTCTAAGAGAAGCTAGTAGAATAGCAGATCAAATTATCGGAAATCCGTGCCTTCCTCAACCCGCCGAATGAGGAAATTTTGATGTCAGTATTTAATTAATGGCGTAGTTCATTAAATTTTTTAGAGTAATTATCGGTCTGGCTGACTTCAGATTTGATATGTGTGTATAAGATAACTAAAAACGCTCTATAAATTTGCCTTAATTGCAGTCTGGAGCGTCGTATTATAAAAAATAATAAATATTGTAAGCTTGTAAGATAAATTTCTTCTGTGTTTTATGCACAATTATGCGCTTGTATCGCGTCACGTAAATTATGAAGGGAATATTTCAATATAGTGGATTGAAAGACGTTACAATTTCAATAGAGAACGATTATTATTAAACAAAACGAAAGTAGATCACGATCATCCTCAATAATTGCAACAGTGGTCTATAAATCTTTGCGTTGTTACAAAGCGATGTTAACTGCAACCAACAGAGGTAATTTATCTTCAATTGAACATTTGCATTGTTAATTTTTTACCTATATACAATTCTTCTAAATTTCATACTTGAAAAGTGATAATTTGTTATTAAGATCAAATTTGTTATCAGGTATTTTATTGAATCAAATTAGTACAATTTTTTTGTTATGTGAGAAGTTGCACCCGTCTCGGCTGTTGTGCTTGTACTTTTTTTAATTTAACGCTTTGGAAAATAAATCGTGAATGACACGAAATATATTGAAGTTTTTGCATTGTGCAGAAAAACGCCCATCTTTCATCCTATTAATAATGCGTTCCTTGTACCAAATAAATCACTGCCTGCACTTCGTATTTCTCAATTTGTTTCGCCTGGAGTTTACCAATTTACAGTTTATCTTGGTTAGCGTCACCTTGAAGGTGTGCAATCGAGGGCGCGAAATTCTACAAAACAATCTTGAAATCGCAGCATTTAACAAATTGTCAAAATAAATCGCAAAAAACAAGTGTCAGATAATTGTGCCTCTCGTAAACAAATAGCAATTAATTCCACTTGTATTGTTTCGGTCTAGGTGGTTGGTTTGACTGGCGGCTGGCTGACTGGAATGGTAAGTTCATTAGTTATGTAAATCGAATTCGCTTTTAAATAATGATTTACTGCTCTCGAAGTCTGATGGTAACTGGATAAGGAAAGTTTTTGGATGGCCACTGCCGATACTCTAGGCACTTATCCTATTTAATCATACATATTTTCATAAGTAAATAGAGTGTTTGATGGTAAACGGAAAACGTTCGAGGGGCCATTACGTCGGCGGAAACGTGTCTCGCATTTGACTGAAACGAGTTGTCCAAAAATGCAAAACGAGTTTCCGAAAACCAATTCGTCAATGTGGAATAATGGAACGTCAGGAGTTGAACAGTTAGCAACGCTGAATGGGGAATGAGGATCATACGTTTAACTTTGCGGATGCTTTTATTTATCACTGGCTGTTGAGAGACTATTACATTTTACGATTGCCAGTGCGGTTTTGACGGACGGCCGAGGCGAAATGAAACAAACTGTTGAAATACTGGTACATATAATAATACTCTTTATTTTATGCGCCTCACCATTAAATCTTACAATGCCTCTCTTAGCACTATCGATTTTTTTTAATTGGACCTTTTTTGTAAATATAAAAAACAGATGTGTACGAGATGAAGATTGGAACGATTTTGTTAATAAAGGCGAAAGAGGCATCCATCCCAGAATCAACAGCCTCATCCGCTAATAACAAAGGAGAGGATCAATGTTCAGATAAACCGAGTTATTTCGTATTTCAACAAACGAGCTCAGCTCCATCATATATAATTAGCCCAAAGCCATAACATAAATTATGATGTTAACTTTTTATAGGAAACGCACGCCTTTGATTTATATTACCGTCGAATAGACGTATGCTGTTTCATAAATTTTTATTTAAAGAGGTTCTTATAAGGTCGTGCCCGTTTACACATGTAATTTAACAACTTCCAAATCACAGACATTTTTACCCGACACGATATCAAACTTTAGAACGTGCAAATTGAAACAACTTTCATTTGTAATCACTGAGATAATTGTACTTAAATGTTTAATTATTTCTCTGAGTATTGTTTACGCTTTTTATACGGCGGTTCTATATTAAGTGGGCGTATAAAGTTTGAAAGTTTGATGGTTTTAATTTAAATCAATTTACTTTGACAGCCGTGGCTAAAATTTAAGTGCGCATTAAAGAAAAAATAGTATTCATCATTCATTGTGTGATCAATAATTACTTAGATGGATAAAAGATAAATAAAAAGTTCTATGTTTTACAAATATTAATTAAAAAAAGTAATAATATCAAATTACATTAGGTAAAACAAATAAATGACGTAATATAATAAAAAAGCAGAATACTCGTATTTTAAGCTGTTTATGAAATCAAGCCTCAAAAATTAGTTAACTTTTTTAATGTGTTTTGTTCAATTTTTGTTAATTAAATTTGGGATGGTCATTTGCGCTGAATTAAAATAATTGCTAAGTTGGTGAATTTTGTGTAGCACATAATTGCTTGTGATGGTTCTCTCCATGCCTTGTGTATCGCAACCGACTAGTCACCAGGGGACATAAAAATTCCACTTAATTTCATATCCGTGCAATATATTCCAGAAAGTGCTTTGCAACGTTGAGAAATTAAAATGTGCATGTCAAATGTAATGTTAATATTAACACAGAAATTACCCCTGTGGAGAATTAAGTTAAAAATTTGCTTTGAAGTGAGCCGATGTTGCCTACTTAATATAAGTTTTAATGTGTATTTAAATATTAAAGCGATGGATAATCTTGAAAGCGATGCGACCAGCAACTTGTTCGAAAGATGTTTCCAAAAACCTATACATAATAAGATTTAGATAGTTATCTCCGAATATTACAGACATGAACTTGTTATTATTACGTCAGAATCTTGATGCGAACCTCGAACCCATCACAAGGTTACCTGAATCCCACGAACTAAAAATTCCACTTTTCAATCAACGCTACTGTACCAAAAGTCTAAAGGAATTAAGTCATAATTTATATTTCGGCACGATTTTCGAACCCATTTTAAACTTGGTGTGCACCTGTGCATTCTCGATAGACGTTCACGAAAGTGATATAAAATAGGTGTGCGATTAATTTATTTACTAATTCTGAAACCTGGCAGTTTGCCCTCGCGACCTCGAGGTGAGTAGCAGGGCGCTTCGTTAATGTGGAATGCACGTAGAGAATTTAAGATATGGATTAATTTACTAAGAGTGATGGTGATGATCTGCGTACAAGTGAAGCATTTAATACTGAAAGCGACCGGTGTTTGTTGATTTCGTGTGTAGGACCAATTTGGCCGGTGACCGCTTCAGAGGGGGCTTACGGGGGGTAGCCGGGCTCCGGACTCCGGTGATTTGTCATGTCAGTGTCGCCGTGATGGATGTAGCTAAGCCGGCGCACATTAGCATATTGAAAGGCTTTGATTCATGCCCGAAGAATCCCGTTGTTTTAAAATAGCAACCGTTGCACGCACTTCATATAAGTACACTACAAAAGGAACAATTTGCACTTAATTTATTTCAAAATGAATGAATTTTAATGTTGCCGTCGTAAGCGGGTGGAAGCTTTACCTATGATTAAACTCTCTCATTTATTGTAGTCTATAAAGTGTAAGAAGATGCTCCGCCTATTTTGAATTGTTAGCAATTTGCAGACCTATCGTATCAGGGCAAATATTACACTGGACATTTTTTTCCGTGGTTTCATGTAAGTACCTAACAAATTCAGCTATAATAAATTATGATGCATGTTTTACTTACAGTTTTGTTCTGAAGCACTTACTTTGATTTGGGTAAAAAACACCGAATTTAGGTTTAAACTTTAATTTCAACTAAATTTCAGGGTGACATTTTAAGAATGTAACAGACACGCAGGCTCCCTTTAATTATGTTTTTTTATTGGTAACCACGTAAGAACGGGGTATTAATCAAGTTATACAAGGTGATTCTTAAATAAACTGACAAAATTTTATCCTTGGTAGTATCAAATGAGAACATGCTGGAAAAAATATTTCAAAAATTCTTTGTAGTTATTTTCGAGGTAAAGCATACGCCACTGATATGTTCGTAAATTGTATTAGCACAGGTAGTGGAAACCATGGTATTAACGTACTTGATCATTGCAACAATTCATAAACGCCGTAAGTGGCACGGATCAAGGGGGTTTTGCCCCTAAAAGATGTAAACGTAAAAAGGGTGCAGTTTGTCTCCATTTATCCTCGGGAAGCTGTAAACAAATTTTGTCGGTCTATTTAAGAATCACCTGTATGTATTTAAAAAGACGAAAGCACTATTTTTTTTACTATTTTTCAGACTGAGCTGTGGTGTGCGGCAGAGACAAACTTAAGTTTTTTCTGATTTCAGATTATTATCCGGTCTTTTCTCAATGAGGACAAATTTGTTTCAAAATTTCATCTTCTGGTGTCCCAGAGATACAAAGCATTGAAAAAGACGTTGCTTTTCTAATGTTACTGAATATTCGTTCAGAAAGTAAGCTACATAAAAAGGTAGTTAAACCGAAAATTATTGCCTATGGCACCAAAGAAGCACAATTACGTCTTTGAACACAAAAAATCTAAAAAACTTAGTATTTCAAAGAATTACAGCAAGAAAACGGTTGATTTTTGGAAACTTCCATGCGTCTATTTTGACGTTTTGGCACATTCCGGCCTACTTAATACGAACAATTCATTGAAATTCGAAATGTAATGGTTTTTTTTGAGGTTTATACAGGATGTTTACGGTCTTGAGGTTGAAATTTAAATGAGAGGATATTTACGGTAGAAGAAAACTAATACGCTATATAATACAAAAATTCACGTTGTTAAAGGAAATTATTAATTTTACACTATTTGTTTAAGAACTGCTGCTTCGGCTGCAACAATGGCCATTAGTATCATTACCTTGTGTTTCACCGTAAATCATAATCACGACAACCAATTTATTATTTTAATATTTTGCCATACATGTTCATAAATTTGGAGAAAAATTTAAAAAAAAAACCTATTGGAAACCATTCGCTGAAAGAGATTAAACAGAAGATCTTCGAATTTTGATAAAAACTAACGCAAAAGCAAATCAAATGATGACAGTGTCAAAACTATGAAGTGACTTTTCTCTTTCATTGTCATGGATACGATTTTTATATCTGTTGCAACAATACAATTTTATCTGAACAAGGAAATAATTCCAGTGACCCTCAACCGTGTACCAATATTTTGGAGTTAGATAACATTCTTGATAATAACAATTGTGTGAGTTTTTTTCTCGGTTACAGTATTTCTATACTCTTCTATTACTAGGTCAATTTTCAACTCCAACACTGTAAACACCCTGTATTTCCCATGTCTCAAGAATTAAAATTATGGGAAATGTGGTACATAACTCAGAAAAGAATGGGTAATAATCTGAAATCAGAAAAACTTAAGTTTGTGTCTGCCGCACACTATAGTTCAATATAAAGAACAGTAAAAAAACAGTGCTTTCCTCTTTTAGAACATTTAAGACAAAACTGGAAATGTTATTGAATTAAGTTACAATGATCTGCAAACTTCATTATTTAATCCAAACAAAAATTCGTTGAAATCCGACAACGAATAACAAAAATATTGCAATGTGAAAAATCGCAAAATTTTAGGTGTCCTGTTAATTTTGGCGGGCAGTATATTAT